TAAACTGAAGTTCCACTTACGTGGTCAACGTTTCCATGGTGATGATGGCGTCATTGATGTGGTTTAGGCATTTTTAAGGGCTTCAGACGAATCATTCTTCCACAAGGGAAAGGAAAGCTGGAACATCACTAGACCAAGTACATTGAAGTTAGAGGAGACTATGCTAAAAAATAGTGTAAGAAAATTTTTTCTGCCATCACGTTTTTTGGGAGAGGCCGAGAACTTTTGGATCACCCCTCGTATAACTTGGCTGGGCGGGTTTGCCTTGGAGAGCAAATGCATGGACTCTTTTAATTTATAGTCTCCAACGGACTATGAGCAATACAAATGGGAAAATTTAGTCCATTGAGGAGAGTGATTTTCCATGGGAGTTTTGTTACCCAAAGGGCTTTTTTGGCCCTCAGTTGGGTGTTATCCTTAACTTAGGGTCGCTCCCACGGCCAATTATTACCTTCGGGGAGGGGGTTAACATGTTAAGTGGCTGTGTGTGTGTTTGTATACAGCCCGTACTACACATCGCATACTTTACGTTGTGGAAGTTTTCAACTATATATCTTGATAGCGACGTCGCATGTACAATCATTTACAATAGAGACAATGTACAACAAGAAGATATCTTGATACAATACAATACAAAGTCAATACAATACAATACAGTATACAATGTTGTGGATCCAAACTCTTAAATGTAATATGTAGTCTACATGTGTTTACCCACATCAGAAAGCTTAGTCCACAACAAGAGCTATGATATGAATGCATGCGTGGAATTGATCTGGACATACCAACTCGGAGCTGGTATCACACCGCTGTTTGAGAGTTGGAAGAAGCTACCTAACACAGTAATAGCAAGCAGAACCGCTGTGGGGGTCTACATATCACGGCGTTATATGGTCAGAATCATCTTGCCAGAATATTCTATTAGTGTTAGAAAATAATAAGTATTTTGTACATGAGCTTTTTATTAGTAACTCATGTACACAACTTGTACACACTACTTGTTATATTTTGTTTATGTACACAAATCAATTGATTATTGCAGATTGCAAAAGGAAATATTCAAAGAAATAACATGTAATAAGTTATGGGAGTGATTCAGGCTTTCGTGAGTTTATTGAAACTGAGGAAATTGTACAAAATTGTCCTGCCATGTGGACTGATTTTTATGCTTTTGTAATTTGTGCGGACACCATACATATAAACCTACCCTGGATTAGAGCCACCCAAAACAATACTTCCATCCCAGAAGTAGCAAGTGGCTCATGGATTGTTCATTGTCTTGAAGGACCGGATAGAGTTGTTTGGACAAGCAGGACTTCGACTGGAATTTGTGGAGCCTTCTGACGGAGGGGTCTATGAACTGTTTACCGTGTTTTCCGACGGAACGTCACAAAAAACAATATATCTGTCCAGGGTAAGCTACTGTCTACTCTGTCTCTGATTATAATGTCCGATGTCGTGTGTGCAGGCGTGTATACACATGTGTGCATGTTTGTGCACATTCATATGTACAGTGTGTGTGTGTGTGTGTGTGTGTGTGTGTGGCTTCAGTTTATTTCCATTGACATGTAAATGCGAACTGGTTGAAGGAATTGACGTCTTTCCTCTGTAGCTACTAGTATCGATCCGTGTGAGGGACCTGACTGCATACAGCACACAGATGTCATACATCATAGTGATACAGATGTTAAAGACGTCGACGTTGTCACACAGTATGTATATCTGTTGACGGTCTGCTGCCATTGTAACGATGGCTACGCTATGGATGGAAAGATTTGTGCTGGTAAGTACAGCCACATGCCATTTTCTCATCAGGGTATCATTTTCACGTCTCTATCTTCTCTGTCTATTTTTTCTATCTATCATACTGGCAGACATAAAACACAGACTATGATAAATGTTGTATAAAAGAGGAGGGCTCGGCATAATTAGGCCATTTTAGGTTTCTTCCATCCCCTTGCATGTGTTTTTATGTTTACCGAAGGAAAACATATTGTTTTTGCTACGTCTCCTGGTCCTGGACCTGGTCAATAACCTTAAACCAGACCGTCTGTCACCATGGTAACTGGTGTGGGGTTACATAATGTTGCAGTTTTATAGCTGCAGGGATTAAGACCCCTGTCTGACCATATATATGAATGTGTTTAAGTAAGAATTAACAGAGCAGACCATATGCGAAGGTAAACATAATGCATTTGCTTTGCAAATTTTACCTTTCAGTTTTTATTACTTTTATCCTATTTCTGTTGTTGTACTAGCAAACAAACAAACAAACAAACAAAACGCAGTCATTTAGCCCTACTACATCGTTACTAATAGAAGCCGTTTCTTGTTCGATCAAGTAGGTGGTTAATTAACTCAGAACTTAAAGAATGCTCATTTTCAAGACCTACCAAAATCTCCAAATTCATTTCCGTGTTTTTGACTTCTATTACGAAGGTAGAATTGTTTCTAGTAGAGTCTCTTTTTTCCATTTAATTTTATCGCTAGATGTCGATGAGTGTGAGGAGAATCCTTGTTATGCCGGGGATATATGCAATACTGAAGATGGGGGCTTCACCTGTCGGTGCCCTCCACAATTTTCAGGTGTAATCTGCACTTTTAAAGGTAAGTACCATTGTTCAGGTGGAAACTTTTGTAATTATTCATTTTCCGCAAATTAGACCTGTATCTGTATTCTAAAGCATCTTTCCAATAAGGTTGGGTAACCGATTTCATTGTGGATTATGCAATATTATCTCTTGACATGAGAACAAAAGTTGAGGTTATAATATACTGTAGTTGAAAAAGAGGAAGCCTATAATCGGCTGTTGACATTGACTTTCACTAACCAAGAACATTTTTTTCAGCAAAGAATTCTTTGGTACCCGCACATCTTGTGACTTTTTTTAAATGAAAACATTGGATGTTTCAGAGCAGTTGTCTTAAAAAACGTTGAATGTTATTTATCTGATGTCGTTGCAGAAACTGCAATATATATAGAACCACCCGAAAGTAGACGACGTACATGTGCTCAAAATGCGTGTCGAAATGGAGGAACTTGCCTTGATAAAGTCACCAGCTTCTTGTTTTGTTTCGTGAATGGTGATTATGAATTCTTAGGTCCTGGAGAGAGCTGTAAAACAGGCAAGTTTCCCAATAAGTATGCCGTTATCCTGCAAGATTATTTAAAATATAATAATTATAATAAAATATAATATTAAATATAATGCTGATATTTTCACAGTAGGAATTGATATAGATAGGAATTCCACATTTGCATATATTAGCTAAAGGTGAACATCATTATGCACAGATGATGTACATGTGTATGTCATTTTTACTTATTAATGAGGAAAAGTTGAAACGGCAATCTGTAAAAGGACAGAATTTTCAAACTAACAGTGTATGAAATTTGAGAGACCTACATTGTACAATGGGCATATATCACTACTATGCTAAAGTATACGCAGAGTAGTCAATGTATACGTATTTACTAATGTAGGTATTCAACCCAGTTGAGTGTCATGTAATTTCTGATTGCTAAATGTGACGGCGAAACTATTGGCTAGATTACTCTAGTTGCAAAAATCTACCTCAGACTTTCAATAAACCACAGTATTACTTTTGTTCCGCGTATATTCTTAGCTTTAGCTCCAAGTCTTTGCTTATAGAACGGCTGAAGACTGACACACGAACAATTAATTGCAGAGTGCCCTTCGGAGTGTCTGACCAAGAATGGATATTGTCGTAGTCGGGACATGATAACGGGCTACGAATGTATTTGTGAACCTGGCTGGGAAGGAGATACTTGTGAAGGTGACATTTCTTTTATCAAACGTCTTTTTTTATTGTGGGTACCCGTCAGAATTGCTTCATTCTGACGGGTACCCACAATAAAAAAAGACGTTTGAATACTTTGAACATTACTCTTACCAAGGTGGTTTATTACCTGATGGTGTATCGGGGTATTTTAGTTATGTCTTTGCACACATCCATACAGTATATTTTTAAATAGACAGCAAATTTTCTTTGCAGTGCCTGCGACGCAAGGAGCAAATGTTACTGCAATACCAACATGGGGACTGCCGGAAAACAGTACAACGGCACCGGTAGTGACTATAGGTACTTTTTGATGGTTCTGTGACTATATATTCATTATAGCCTGTGTTTACGCAAGCTCTCGCTGCCCGAAGTTAGTGACCCCAGACTGTCGGGCCGGCCGCCAGGAGCGTGATTTTTAGTACATGGTGGTGAAGGTATTTCAGCACCAAGGAAAGGATAGTACAGGGCAAAGGAGGGATGGGGTACAAGGTACAACAGTGTGGGAAAGTCCTACGTGTATTTGTGCTGTGTCTGTGTATTTCTGTACTGTGTACATTATTCTTTCTTTGCTTCAAGAACTACATTGTACTTATCAAAATTATGAAACGTTCTGAAAGGCGATTATTGTTTACTTGTTTGAACACAGCTAAGAATGGCATTGTGCTTCAAGACGACGGTGTAACCGAAACTATAGACGGAACGAGCGCAGAGCTTCACTGGTGCTACGGGTTCAGGCCCAGTAAACAAGTGATCTTTGAGGCCTGGTGGTTCAAACAGACTGGTGGTGATCAGGTGCTGGTGGCCAGTCGTTACCCAGCTAGGAATGCTTCTGTCCAGTCCAGATACAAGGTGGGACTGTTGAACCTGTGATCATTACCACAATGTCTATGATATATACATGTATATACATATCCATATATCTAAATGTCTATCTCTAAAAAATCTATAACATCATATTATATGATATACATATATTTGCATCTTTCTCTCTCTCTCTCTCTCTCTCTCTCCACACACACACACACACACACACACACACACACACACACACAACACACACACACATATACATATACATAGATACATTTATTATGTAAACACACATATAGAGAGATACTAGTAGATAAATGTATAGAATCTGATATAGAATTATAACACATTCATACAAACAACTGGTACGTGCCGACATCTGCTGGGCGTCAAATATGTACATAAATATGTTCAGAATATATCATTGACCAGATGTGGAGTGTATGTCCACATCACAGACCACAGAATCATATAGATGCAATATTATGATCATATCATTATGAGTATGATTTCTTTCAATATTATGGTTTCTTTCTTCATACATGTTGTTTGTAACTGCAATTAGCCCTCGGGCATGTATTTGCAGTAAAATTTCGATTATGATCATAACAACTGTATACATATTGTATATCTATGTATGCTAGGGGCGAGTGGAGGTATTTGGTGATGCAGACCTGCTGTTGAAAGCAGTAAGCCCAGCAGATGTCGGCACGTACCAGTTGTTTGCCGCCTTCAGTGATGCTTCAGATCCGCTGTGGAAGGACAGGCACCTCGTGGTTTACTGTACGTTGGTGACAACCATTTTATTCCGAGAAATATATCTACATGGTCTACTGGTTATTGCTAAATTGTTATGTCCGGTCTCCCGATCAACAATCACCAAGCAGATCTTTTGGTGACTGCAATAAAGAACTAGTATCATATTGGCAAGACAGTATCAAATATCAAATTGGTAAGACAGTATCACATTGGCAAGACAGTATCAAATTGTCAAGACAGTATCAAATTGGCAAGACTGTATCAAATTGACAAGACAGTATTAAATTGGTCAGGTACTCCAATACAACAAGGATACCAGTACGGAAAAAGAAAACGCCTAAAAACTGTCAAAAATAGACCGAACCTTAAACCTCTGCTTGGAGAGTATAAGTAACTCGAAGAGCTTACAATTATCCTAATCCTTTTCCTAGCGCCTATAAAATGTTGTTCATATCCTTAACTACCGTTGCGCATTATTTAAATATGTCACAGACCCACCAACGAATATGGCAGTCACTTCAAGCCTTAGTGCAACAGAAGGAGACCAGGTGACGATTCTGGCCCACGCCAACAGTGTACCACCTCCTACCTACCTGTGGACAAAAGTCAACGGCTCACTTCCCAGTGATTCTGTCATGAACAGGACTACTGGAACATTTACATTACCGCACGCTACACTAAATGACAGTGGCACATACAGGGTCATCGCTAGTAATGAACTGGGAAACTTATCTGGTGTTACAATCTTAACAGGTAGGATCAATCAGTTGACAAGTAGAAATAAAGGTAAACTTGTTGTCTCTGTGTATTGGAACTGAGGTGCATTAAGGTTTTAAGGAATTTAATTTTAAAGCTAAAAGAGACTAACTAAGGTGGCTATTGACAATTTACTATTCCTATTGCCTTCTTGTGCCAATTTAATGTAATTTCCATGTGTATGTACACAAGTTTACAAGCTACCAATGAAATGACCTTTTTTTATAAATGATGTTTGTTGTACTAGTCCTGTATTTATGTTGTTTTCTTCCAGTGCAACAGGCATTTAAGGCCCCCCGTCCCGTAAATTTGGGCTCACCCCTACACTACGTTGGACTCAAGCCTGCATTCCTTATAAGTAAGTCCATGTCCTTGAAATCGCCAACTTGGAAGCATACTGCAGGGAAGGCAATGAGTAAGTCCGATTTAATGCCTGTATAAAGTAGCTAAAGAAATTATTAACCTTCCCAAGAAAAGGGTTGCCAGGACGTGGTCCTATGCAACAGTAGCAGCAACAGGTCCCTTTTCCGCGTAAATTAACACATTTCTGTATTTCCCCTGCTCCAGCTGAAACGCCTGCAGCTGGCGGACGGTCCACCCCACACGTGGCAATGAGTACTAGTAAGTCCAGTGGTATTACCTATATAAAGTAGCCTAAGAAGTTAAACATTTCTATGAGAAGGGTTGTCAGGACGTAGTCGTATGCAACAGTAGTAGCAACAGGTACCCCTTAAGTTTAATACATTTCTGTATTTCTACTGATGCAGCTGAAACGCCTGCAGCCGGCGGACGGTCCATCCCACGGACGGTCTACTCCACCCGTGGTGGCGGACGGTCCAACCCACACGTGGTGACGGCTGCAGTGGTGCCATCCGTGGTACTACTCGTCCTGGCAGTGGTGGCGGCAGTTCTGGGATACCGGTGGATCAGAAAGAGACAAAGCGACAAGCACCCTGAAGAGCGTGACTTTCATTCCAATCTTCTAGGTAGTTTTGTCTTTCTATTGTACCCATGTGTAAAATTGTCTATTTATCAAAAATCAGTAAAGGCATAGTCATCGGCAACTCTGTAGGCAGAGAGATTATATCTATCGCTGCAACTTAACATTGAATGTTTGACGTTTTAGGGTATGCTGACAATCATATTACTAATAGCTACCAATAGTATTATAAGTAGCCTGTACATGCAATAAAGCCAAAATATCTTTTAGTACTGTACGGGAATGATATTCAACATGGATTGCAGGTCAATAGATTGTACCAGCAGAGACTCCGATCGGGATCTCTACCCTGACATATACTAGTATATAGTTTCACTGCTTTTGTTCCCAGAGTTAACAGAAGTGCACAGACCACCGCTCCCACTCCCTCCCCCTGTGCCGGCTCGGCCACAGTTCCTGGAGTACGAGGTAAACCCAACTGATCTACAACTGAAAGAACAGATTGGCAGAGGGGCCTTCGGCGTCGTGTTCCTTGCGTCTTTAAAGAAAGTTGTTGATGGTTTTCTTACCGAACAAACAGTGGTGGTGAAAACTGTCCACGGTAGGTCCATTTTTTGCGGTGATGCTTTACCCACTTTAGGAACTTGCAATGGCTGACATACATTTGTATTTTACCAGCTTTATAAAGGCTGAAAGCAACACAATGGCTGAAACACCCAGAAATAGTCTCTGCTATTCATCTAGTAGTAGACTTTGAAAAGCCTGGGAGCCATTTTGGAGTATCGGGTGTAAGGAGCCCTGTTAGTATTTTACGGATGGCACTCAGGCTAGAGTTTGAATTGTTCTTTGACAAATGTTAACCTAGACCTCTGAATGTCATCAATGTATCAATTTTTTTTGTGAAACTTGCAGAGGATGCAGGAGTAGAGGAGATAAAGAATTTTATACGAGAGGTCGACACCACCATCAACCTAAGGCAGCACATCAACCTACTAGGTTTGGTGGGGTGCTGCACGCTGTCTCACCCTCCCTACCTGGTGACGGAGTACATGCCGTATGGAGACCTCAAGAACTTCCTACTCAAGTGCAGAAAGGTTTGATATTTTATACTGGAAATCCATTAGATTAGACATGAAACTCTAACCTATTATTCCTGGAAACTTAAAATCAAAGGGTGTACATATGTTGATCACAAAATCACATAACATAACACGTCAATTCATAAAACTTAACCACATGAAACTACCGGGCGGGCAAAATAGTGCAACCGAAAAAATCACTTTGTATAATACTATATATCATCATCATCAGGTTACTACAAGTTTCCTCCACTTCCCCTTGTTGGTTGCTAGCAAGGCCAGATATCTGTTAAACCCAGATAGAGTTGGTCATTGTAATCTCCCGGACTCCAGAAACCCACCTGTGCCCGACCTGTGGCAGAACCTTCAGAGCCCGTATAGGACTTGTGAGCCACAGCCGGACACACAAGACCTGATGTGATGTTCTTTGGTCATCGTCGACTACGACGGACGAACAACAACAATCTCCCAGAAGCTGTTGGATGCAATGTGAATAACTGGTAAATAACACACATTTTGCATTTCTGAATTGTATACGTTTTTTTTACTTTTCTCTCGAACAGACCACCTACGTTTCCCAAGCTGGATACGTGCCCACTGATATGGCAGCTCGGAACATTCAGGTAGGAAAGGACCTAAGAAATTATTAAATGCCATACAAATGTGCAACTGAACTTCAAAGAAAAAAAACTTTATGACAAGTTTCTATCTCTATATTTATGTCTAGATAGATCTAGAATAGTTGTTTGTCCATTTTACCCATTTATGTGTTTCATTTATCTTGCATTTGTCTATTTGACTGTTGGCTGGAATGTTCTAAATAAAATGTCAGTCAACCAATGTTATAACTTTGATTAAATTACGGTGACTCTTTCCATGTAAATTCGCAACCCAGTCGGATGGGGCACTCCGTGACAGTATGTATGACTTCAAGGAGAAGAATGTCTACCAGGTAGCGCAGCAGATAGCAAACGGAATGGTAAGAACCCACACAAACTCACAGCCTTGTAACTAGAATGGGGTGATAAAATGCATTTCCAGACCATTGTGCAACATTTCAATTTTCATACATAACAACATAGCATGGACTCTTCACTTTTTGAATTGTGATGTTTTCTGACTTTTTCTCTCGAAACAGGCCTACATTTCCCAGGCTGGTTACGTGCACGGTGACCTGGCCGCCCGGAATGTTCTAGTAGGAGAGGACCTTTTGGTGAAGATCGCAGATTTCGGCCTCACTACAGACATCTACGAGCGAGGCTACCAGCGGCAGGATGCGGAGCAGAGAATCCCCCTGAGGTGGATGGCGCCGGAAAGGCTGCTGCGAGAGGGCCGGTACACCAGCAAGAGTGACGTGTGAGTACAGCTATTGCTTTGTTTTCGTCGTTTCTATAGTAACAATTTCCTTGTGTATCTCATTACCTGGATGTCTAACCTTCATCAACGTTGCTTATCTCAAATCTAATTTTCACGCCCAGTTGGTCCTTCGGTGTGGTGCTGTACGAGATCGCTACGCTCGGGAACGTGCCCTACCCAGGTGCAGAACGCACTGTGCTCATGGAGGAACTCCGCTCAGGGTACCGGGAACCCCGTCCTCCTGGCCTCAAGCAAGATCTGTACGTGAGACTAGTATTGTTTTCGTCTATTCATCCCCAACTTACATAAAAATAAGATCAACAAAATAGCAATTAAGGCCATGTTGATTTGATTATATGGATGACATCCGCGCGCGCATGAATTTTCGGCCGTTTCCCCCCCCAAAAAAAATTTCAACCATACTGTAAATCGTACAAAACAGCTGCAAAATGAGCAAATAAGTTCCAAAAAAAATTAATAAAAACTATACCAATGTCGTAGAATGCCAAAATCAAACGAAAAAAGACGAAATTGTTAAGAAATGAACTTGAAGACTAGATTATTCGCCAAACCATATTCTGTGCCATTTGCTCAACCCTCATGACCACGTAGATTTCATAATGAAAATAACTTTTTTTTTTGCAAAACTTTTTTTTTATTCGCACGCGCGCATCAGTTTTGGGCTCCCGGAGGATGTCATCCATATAACCAAATCAACATGGCCTAAGGGACAATAATGAGTTGTGAAAAAGAAAGAACGAACAGAGAGTGCAGTTATAAAAGACAAATGGTTATAAGACTCGTGTATAGAAACTACACCTTTTCTATTCTACTGTAAATAAAGATAAGAATATTGTATTCCTTACCAGTAGGCAATATCTAATGTATTTTTAAAGGAGTACTAACCTCCAGAAGGAAGTGCTATTTTCCGATACATCATGCTGCAATGAACACATAACTAGCCGACTTTTTACGTAATTTTGCTTGTACGACTTGCACGGCGCATGTTTGTAAAGTGATATTAATATCATTTTTCCCCATGCTGAACCACAATTGATACATCCGGGAACTCTGGCTTGCGCAATACTCATACACTTCAGGTCAACATACACATTTTTCCGCGAAAATGGTAGGAGACAAGCACATTAACAAGCTGATTATTGAGAAATTACTTGCTTTACTTTGCTTGACCTGTGGCTTGGATATTATAATATCAGGATGTCGAAAACAGTGGGAGCCAGTTTCATCCTGCGTGTTTTGATTTTCTCAACTTATTTGCATGTAAGTATTACTTGAACAGATAATTAGATTACGCCACTTATGGAAAGGATAACTAGATTACGCCGTTTTTTTCATCGTCAATATTTGCGGCATAAATAAGGGGCGATAAGGACACCAAGAAGGGCAATGGTTGGTAAGATACCAAAGAACACAGATCGGTACGAATTTTTCTTATCGCCCCCGAAATGAGGTCTGTAACGTAACTTTTTGTCTAAAACATAGACACCAATGGGGTAGCGTGGTGTATTCTGGGATAGTTTTGAGGGTATTTGGAGAGTTTGTCCTGGATTCGATGCGTTTTAAGACTTGCGCGCAAAATGGGCATTTAATTGTATACTGTAAAATAATATGCATTTTTCACTTCCAAAAATAAATGCCTGTCGAAATATAGCACCCCCTTCTGGAGGTTAGTACTCCTTTAAATACATCATTAAAATGATGATGGGTAGCTGGTCTTTTTTTTAATGCAAAATGGTGTTGAAAATAACTCAGTGTAGGATCAAAGCCAGGTCAAAGAGAATCTATTCGTCTAATCCGGACAATTCTATCCTAGTGGGAAAAGGGCCATAGTATCATTCCATTTCAAAACTTGTCAATCGCTGATGACTAAATAACTAACATATTTATGTCTCCAACCGATAGGTACGATATGATGCTGCGGTGCTGGCAATGGGAGGAAGACCATCGCCCAGAGTTTCATGAGCTTTATGAAGAGCTGAACGCTGTTGTAGGTTCCATTGCAAAGGATTGTGAAAAACCTCCTTCCAGCTCCCAAGAGGGTCAGAATGAGGCAGCAGATGTTGCTGAAAACTTGAATGACATCCCAAAGTTGGCCCCAACAACGATGCAACTCCATGTTACTGCAGACGTCTACAACAGCGAAAGCCATGAAGAAATTGACTCACTCACTTCTTCAAATGAAGAATCTGGTTCTGAACCAGTGGAGACAAAATACATCAATGGCTATCACAGTAATAACCACATAGCAGTTGGGTTCAAGGTTGCACAACAAAACACGCTTATTGAAAGTAAAGACACCGACCAGTCGCAAATGGAATCCTCAAGCCCATTGGGTGCAGCCATTATGGATTCAAATGACAACTCCGAGTTGCCTGTGTCAACAAATGTGCAGAAGAATGATAGACCTATGGAAGGAGGTTATCTGCCTATGGCCTCCTTGCCCCACTATAATTGAGGATAACTATATGGTGACCGTTTCCTATTAACAAATCCTACATTTCATGTCAATCCATATAATTGATCTAAGGTGACACAAATCAAAGTTTTGTCTTTTAAGAATTAAAAAAATTTACAGACACCAATCGTTTCTGTCAACAAAGATTCTACCAGATTGGAGTCCAGACGTATACATATACTTATGTTGACTTGGATGTAACAATGTAACGTTAACTAAGTCAGTGTAATCACATCGACTTTACACCAGTGTGTGATGTTGTACACATGTATTCAATTTGCTTTCATTAGCTAAAAAGCAAAGTATTGTTGGTCTGCCTGTCCTCTCATACTCATAGACCCTACGTAATGAAATAATACTGGGAATTTAAAAGATATGTAATCTACCCGTATACATCATTCAGGTGTTTCTGTCTACAAAACTAGACTAACATTATTCTATCACGAGACATCAAGATTAACGTCTGCTTGGAGAGTAGAGGTGTTGTACAATGTGTAGAACTGGCCTGTCAGGAAGTCACGATTGTCATACTATCACCTAAACAGAATCCTTGCCCTTTTGGATGCATTATACCACATCCTGGTGTACGAATTACGAAGTAGTATGGGTGATGAAGGACAAACTGTGTGGATTGTTTATGCTGTATTTCAGTTATGCGGTATCTGATAAGGAAGGATTGTAAAATTTTATGGCTGCAACATTTTATGGCTGCAACATTTTATGTGTATGTTTTATCTGTTGTCTATATAATAAACCATTCATTCATTTAATCCCTTTCATGATTGAAACAACACAAACATCATTATAATGTCAAATGTTGATAAGATTTTTTGATAGTAGTTAAACGTGTATATAAATAATAGTTAATGATATAATGCTCCAGGAAGAATAGTGATATATCATCACTGATGTGAGCTTCCCAAACAAACAAACAAACAAGCAAACAAGCAAACAAACAAACAAACAGAGCATGTAGGTTGTGACCATGTTTATTGAAGACTAGCAGAGCGGGGGTTGTTCTCAGGCGATGCTGCCAGCATTGGAGGCGATCCTGGGCCAGAGGTCGGCACACTCCTTTGCCACAGGACCGGTGATGGCCGAACCTGGACAGACACAGGAAACATGGTTTAGGACACACAACATTTTCACTCACACAACTAAAATTTTACCATCACAGTCACACTATATTCAATAGTAAGAAGAAGATCGAAAATAGTAACAACAACAAAGAACTAATCTGACAAAGGTTGAAGTGTTTGACTGAAAATTCATGACAAGTGTTTGAGTTGTATTGGAACAAAGCCTAAAATTTTTACAACTAAAGAACTTGAAACAAATCGGATCACAATCCATTCAGGAGACTAGAAATTGGTTGCTTCATAAGTTCATAAGATCTGTATTGTATCCTGTATATTGTAGACACCAAGAACTGTTCACAGTTTAGGTCCCTTCATCTTTGACCACACACACTAACACACAGGTTAAACCATGGCTTGGCTTATTATGCCACCAATTTAACCAGTACTAAAATGACCAGCTATAACTCACCTTTCATTTCACCCTTGACGTTGACTATTACCCCCGCGTTGTCTTCGAAGTATAAGAACACCCCGTCCTTTCTTCGATACGATTTCCGCTGTCGAATCACCACTGCCGGCATCACTGCAAATGAGACGCAAGACATGACACAAGTTAGTCAGCAATAATTGAGAAGAGCTAACAAGTTTGCACTTTGTTATGTCGTTCGGTAAGTACCATGAATGAACTTTTCTTTGAAGTCTTAAGACCTGCAACTATACCTAACCTTAAGCACACTGAAGTTGCCGTTTAGCTACGAAGTCCTTATTGCTAACAGTACTACTGGCCGACTACTGCCAAACCATTGCAGGGACACCAGCAGCAGAATAATCAAATCCTGGATAGTGAGTGAGTGTTAATCTAAATCAAGTAAACATTACCTCCCCAACAAAAGTCAGGTACCCATTTTTACACCTTGCCTGGGTACCATCCTACTTGTGTGCAGGGGCTCCCACACTCACTTGTTCGGGAAGCGAGTGTGGGAGCCCCGGCATACAAGTAGGATGGTACCCAGGCTATTTTACACCTGGGTGGAGTGAGAAAAAGTTTTACAAAATGCATTTCCCAGGAGCACAAGATCAGTGGCAGGGGACCTCTGGGTTCTGGGCTGAACACCTAGCCATTACACCACACCACACACAGTAGAGGACTCACCCTTTTTCCGGAGTTCTGGTTTTCCCTTCTTGACAGTTGCCATGACCATGTCACCAACACCGGCTGCAGGGAGCCTGTTCAGACGACCCTTGATGCCCTTCACGGCAATGATGTACAAGTTTTTGGCCCCTGAAATAAGGAGGGATTCCGAGGGAAAAATGATACATCAGACTGATACACGTTAAAAACATTACAGTACATACTTCGTAATTTTGTGATGTAAGGCTAGAAACCGCACGAACTATGGCAAGCAACTTTCCCAGACTAGTGAAATGGACTGATAGTTAGGCTCATCTTTATTCTAATTCTAATTATGATGCTTTTTAGATTGCATTGATTGCTTGTGTTCTGTAAATGTAATGTTTCACATGTGTGGGCTACGACACCAGCAATAGCAGTCTGTGTGCCGTGACATGTATTGTCACATTCCCCCCTAAAATCAAATCAAACCAAATCTGACCTGTGTTGTCCGCACAGTTGATGACGGCTCCCACAGGGAGACCGAGGGAGATGCGGAACTTGGCCCCCGACGCACCACCACGTCCTGAAAATTACAAACAGCACAAATCTTACATCTGTATACTAGTAGTGTATTTGTACAGCCTTAATTATATCTACCCTTTGGCATAACTGCCATGCATGGTTATATAGAGGCTTTCCATTGATATCATAATAAATTTGAACACTCAAGGAATTAACATGTTAGCAGGTAAGTGGATTATAGTTCTAATACCTTAAGAACCCTGCTAGAACACTCACTCCTAAACGAGGCTAAAAGCTCCAAAGGTGAGTACACATGCTAAGCTACGTATGTTGATTTAAATCATAAATCTAAGGGGCCTTTTTTCATCCGTTTCTCCGTCCATAGGCTTTGCATGCTTAAAATAACACCGTAAATTACTTCCTATTACTTTTCTACGCCCCAACTAACATTTAGCCACAGTTTTTGCTCAATTATTAGCGTAAAGCAGAGTGCGCCCCCCTCCCCACCGTGCATGCTCCACCATGTGGAATTCCAAAATGGCTGCCTCGCCGACGAATCGGCTACAACAATCGAGATTTTTTCCCAAAGAACGCTATTGGCAAAACATTACGCACCACAAACATGAGCAACAAAGCCTTAAGAATCGTTATTACTATGTTACGGTCGGCCAAAGTCCCTAAGAATCCAGAAAAATGCACTGAAAATTCGGGATTTTTTCTACACACCTCGCTTCGACATTTTCGGTAGAGGAAGAGACCGACGGCTCGTGCGCGTGCGCGGCGCAAGGCCTGCCGGGAAGGGGCGCTTATTTCCTGAGTAGGATATTCGAGAGCTCGACTCGAGCTGCAGATACTCTGCAAAATAACCCTAATTTCTCCAACTCTGGGCCTTTAAACACCGAACCGTCGACGTTTCTGGATTGCTTTGGAACAGGGCACGAGATCCAACATGAATCCCAAGTGCGCACGATGCACGAAGACGGTGTACCCGATGGAAAAACTGAACTGCCTGGACAAGGTAAGAAGAAGGGGACCGCCCCAACTTTATATCAGCTGTTTTGGCGCATCTGTAGATTTCGTAAATATAAACACGGTCGCGTCTTTGTCTGAGATTGATGCCAACTTGTTTCTCGCTGCAGTACTGGCACAAGGGATGCTTCAACTGCGAGGTGTGCCGTATGACCCTCAATATGAAGAACTACAAGGGCTACAACAAGAATCCTTACTGCAATGCGTAAGTCAGAGTATTTTCTTACCGCCCCTTCTTCATACCCCTCCCACCTAAGATCATATCCCGCAGTGCCAACAAGTCATCTCAGTGGCCTTGCAGATAACTAGAACAACCGTTGACAGATCCTCCCTTCTGCCTTCAAATCTGCTCAGCCAGACACCAGCAAATACTGAAAAAAAATCTTTACCATCTCCTAGTAAACTCTTGGGAGAAACTTGAGTGATCAGTGGTACAAAAGATATACATGACATGTTGCTGTCAGCTCTGTTTACCCAAACATGTGACCTCCCCATGAAAGAATGTTCGGTTCAAGTGTTTGTGTATCATTTTTTTGCCAGGGAGTTTTGGTGTACTGTTCTTGGCCAAACTTGAGCTCCTGTGCTGGCATTGAATGTTGACAGGAGGGTGACAGACACTCACAGCAAATACAGAAACACATGTCTTAGGGTGAAACCTGAGAGGCTTGGAAGTTTGTCTTTGCCTGGTGTGTTCCCACATTCCCTGCTGGCAACTTGCTGGTGTATCAGTATAACAAGATCAGTTCATGAATAAAAGCCTCATTACCTACTGCAAGGTGGCTTAAGATGCTTCCGAAATTAAGACGCTTGTGTTTAAGAAACGGGGGTGTGTTGCTCCGATGCACATGCTGAATAAGCCTGTGTGTTTTTTACGGACCTTGAGAGAAGCCAAGGCACACCCTTCTAGCCAAACAACAAAGCACGAGGGATGTTTGAGGCATCCTGGGCGCCTGTGAACTTTGATTTACACGGATTCTGTGTAAACAAACAAGAAAACCAACAGGAGCCAAGTGGCTACTGTTTTTGAGGGGGCTCTGTACCCCCCTTCTGTGTGGTACAGGCAAGCCATTCTGTAGTGAAAGCTATTTAATTTCACACTTAAATTTGTAGCAAGGTGGCCAAGTTTTGCGTATAGTTTCCATCCTGAATTTAGCAAAATGTGCAGGTGTCAGCATCCACTCTAATCTAGCATCTGCTGATATGAAATAATATTTACTTCTGTTGCTATTCTTAAAATGTTTCTTGGACAGTTCAAACCTATGGCTGGATTATAGTAAGGAAAAATAGCTACCTGTTGAATATTCATTAAAAGAATGTTCAATATGTTGTTGAAATATTTGGGTGATATGTTTCATTCAAGCTTTGTAATTTCATGTTTCTCGGCTTGCCCCCAGAGTGTTTGGACCTGTCGAATACTGCTATAGTACGAGGGGACTGGGACGTAAGGATGTCATGTCCTTGGTACTGTCTGTAGAAGACAAATTAAACTTGACCTTTACTGACCCGAGAATGTTCTATAGACTCTGCTGAAGGATCTGGACCATAAGAAGAGACACCTTTTTATAGCACAGCTCCAGTTTTCACCCTGGTGAGGAGGATAACCTAATTTTGAGTTGGTCAGGATCCAGGAAGGCTTGAATATTTGATAAACAATGTCCTAATAAGGCTCCCAAGCTTCCCCTGTGTGTAAGGTGGTACATAATACAGATAACTTCCATCTGTAGAAATTACATTGCCTTAACCTCCAAACACCTTTTATCTCTCTATGGCAAGATAACATTATCAGGACAAGATTTGATTGAGTCCTACCATCAAACAACTGAGGAATAGATGCTTCATATCCATAGATTTCATTTGTTTTCTATTTCGTGCACACTTTCTTTCTGTTATTGTATTATGGCTACAATATTTATCAGAATCAGTCATAATTGAGTGCATAATGACATGAAGATGGGAGGCAAAGCAGTAATGTGCTACAAATTCGCTCTGTTGACAGAGGCATTTTTCCATTATTATTAGGTAGGAAGAGTTAGCTCTCTTGTTATTTTCTTGCAGAAAACATTTTGAAGGGTGTGACTGTTGCTGAAGAAGGTTTTAACTCTGGAGTCTGGCATCTTGTTACTGTGTTGTTATGAAATGTGTGTCAAGTGTGACAATTGCTCTGTTGTATACATTGCCTTGTCAAGTTGGTATAAACACTTTCATTCATTCAAGCAGTACTACAAACTACTTAAGTTGACTTTTGACTTGACTTCTAGTTCTACTACTATTGCAAGAAGAAGAGTTATATAAGTATATATAAGTATCTGATAACTTGATAAGCAAAATGATTTTTCTAAGTTGATCAATTAGTGGTACTTAGTAGTAGATAGAATTTGTGTCTTTTCTATTGTGAGATATGACCTCATGATTGGGAAAAAACAAGTTTGTTGTGTACATTTGGATTATTGTCAAAATGTTGTTTTCCTCTGTTCTATTGCATTGAAAATTTTTTGAGAAACATTAGATACAGATTTTGCCAGGCCAAATGTTTGTGGTGAGGCATCAGTAGATCTAATAGGCCAGGAAAGTCTCTGTTTGTACCTGTATAATCTTTCGGAGGTGCTCAGTCTTCTGAGACTACTCTTCCAGCATTCCTGACATGCTTGGTGTGGCCAGGGGATCTCCTGTTGTGGCTTGTTTTACAGTTGAAGTCACAGGGTTTGTGTAAGCAGGGGTAGTCACGGAAGATGATTTTTCGCTGTCCGGGTCTTGTATTTCAACAAAAGAGTCTTGTTGAATTCGCCTTAGGAGGATTATTGTAGAAGAAGAAGGGCAAAGTTTAATTTCTTGCACTTCCTTTGAAGATGTTTGCCCCGACAATTTTTGGCAATCGGAGCTTAGGCATTAACCTTGTATAGGTTACAAATTTCATTGGCAAGAAGGAGGTGAAAAGGCTAACTTTGATCATGAAAAAAGGACTGGTATATAATTAGAGTCTGAACATACATGTTTATTATGGCAAGTTAAATCCTGCTCAAAGCAAGAGGGTTTTTTACATTGAAACTTTGTATACGTTACAGATTATATTAGCAAAGGGGAGGTTAAAAGGCTAACTTTGATCATGAAAAAAGGACTGGTAACTTACAATTAAGGTCGTCTGAACATACATGTCTATTATAAAACAGCAAAACCCTGTTCAAAGCAATGAGGTTTGTTCCATTCAAAGAACGATATTACTTCTGAGGATGTAGAAAGTATAGGATTTGGGTAAAAGAAACACATGTACACAAGAAGACTCTGGAAGACCCTGCCTTGTGTGTAGAGACAACAGATCACATACTGAAGCCACATGTTGAAGAATAGGATTGGGTAGGGAAGGACACAGCAAATTAGAGGGGGGGGGGTAGATAAGTAAGGGATCAACCAGAAACAACATGGGGTGCAGAGGGAAGAGTTGTCTGGAAGTAGAAAACAGTCTTTACTCTTACCTTCGCCAGAAGGTTATGTTTTGGGGAGCATTTGTTTACATGTGTTTGCACCTGGGTCTCCCCAGAAATTTTTAAGGGAGAGGTCCGTTGATGTCACGAAAAAAAATTGAATTTGAATGAAAATACCAAGAGAAAACCCTAAATTTGAACATTTTGGGAGAGGTGCTAGGATTTTTGGGGAGAGGGGGAGCACCCTTGCTTCATTGCTTGGGGAGAGGCCTATGTTTGTGTGTATGTGTCTGTGGTTTAGCATGATAACTCAAGAAGCCATAGATGGATGAGGGTCTGCATGCTCTTTTCCGTAAGGCGTAGGCGGGCCTCTTTAATTCCCTGTAATTCGTAGGGAAGTTATTCTATTCACCGTAATTCGTAGTGAGGAGGCTAAAATTTCCCGTAAAGCGTAGCCAGCGCATTTTACGTAAAGCGTAATCGAGCCTAAAAATTCCCCGTAAATCGTAGTCTGGACTCCCATTTTTCGTAAGCTGTAGCGGACGAACCAGCGACCAGCGGATAGCGGATGACCTGTTGGGTCAACGTCGTACCCAGGATTTCTATAGTCTAACCTGGACACGAGAGCACCTATGACATCAGTGGAGCTCTGTGCTATTATTGGTCACTATTGGCCAGGTGGCGGGAGCAAATCTGGAGTCAATCTTGTCGCATCTTCATCTTGTCTGTCCCTTTCTTGCCTGTCCCATCTGGGTCCATGTGTGCGGTACAATCCCACCATCATGACATACTAGTAGCTCACGCGACGCTCGTGATTGTGCGCATTTTATATCGCATACGGGGTCGATTCTGTGCCAGAATTTAGCGTAAAGCGTTGCCGGCCTCCCGGAATTTAACGTAAAGCGTTGCGAGCCTCCATAAATTTAGCGTAAAGCGTAATCAGCACCCCCCATGCAGACCCTCATGGATTGTCGTAAAACTTGTTAGGTGGGTAGGCCTTGATGAGACCTCAAAATGATAAGATTTTGTACCCCCTGACCGCTTGTTTGTTATTGTTGACTTAAGTTAGATTCTCCAACTTTGAAGGATGACATCAACAGGTGCTTAAGATTTCTGGAGATAAGCAATCTTGGAGGATCAAAGATCTTACCACACATCTTGATAATATGCTATCCACACACACGAAAAAAAAAAAACATTAGTGTAAAATACTGCATCTGTTCTAAGAACTATCAGAAGTGTGTTGGTGGCCTTGAAATCCATTGACCAAGACCTCACCAGCTTTATAAATTGCCGTCTTTATAGAATATACAACTGTATGTAGAAAACATAGTAATTTACTTTACCATCCATATTTGTAGAAAACAACACAGTCAGTGTCTGTCTTTCCAATCGCAACTCAATTTGTGTATTTTATGCGTGAGTGTGTGAGGTCGATATGGTTTTATTTATAAGCTAAACACATCACTTCCTGACTACCTAGAAACCCTGTTTGTTCAATCTTGGCAATACCAGTACTGAAAACCTATTACATGTAGGTCAGTTGATAGCAAATGAATCTATCAAGACGATTTTAGGTACAAAAGGCATAACAAAGCAGCACTGATACGGTACTGGAGCATATCTTCTGACACGAACGTCTGCAGTGTCAAGGTTGAATCTGGTTGATCATGGCTCAAGGCTTCATCAGCTTTTGACATTTACAAATGTAGAACTTACAAGGTTAACTTGGAAGATAAGGAATGCCCACAAGGGTAGAAAATGTCTCAGACTTGGCCTAAAGCCA